AGAGAGAGAGAGAGAGAGAGAGAGAGAAAGAGAGAGAGAAGGATAGAGATTAGGAATTAGAGATAGAGATAGAGATAGAGGAAAAAGGAGGCTCGTTAAAAACGTATCCTTAATACATGGTCGCTAGATCATCCTATATAGATTAATAGGTAAATACATTATTTTAATAGTGGTTGGTCATTTTACGTAACAGTTAGTATGGCGACAGCCCAGCTCTAGATATACAATATCGGTATAAGATCTTTCATAAAGTGTTCTCTCTGAGAGTTAAAATTGTTTAAACGCTACCGTTATTCATCGCCGTGATGATAATTCGTAATAATCATAACAATAACAATCATAAACGAATATAGATAGTAATAACTGTAATATGCTCATATAAATTCGCCAGAGGCTGCGCTTGCGCGCGTTTAACTTTTTTCTGCTCTTTTCATTTAATTTTTTTTTCTTTTTTTTTCTTTTCTTACCATTTAACATTTTTGTGTGTGTGTGTGTGTGTGTGTGTGTGTGTGTGTGTGTGTGTGTGTGTGTGTGTGTGTGTGTGTGTGTAGTAAAGAGTTAAGTCGATCACCGACTGTCGATCTTCGACACCTTCGACCCTCTTTTTTCATCCTTCATATGAAATAACGAGTTGCGATTCGGTTCATAAAACGTAATCCACATCGCGCCGGAAATTGATCGATTTTCTCGATTTTAGTTGACGAATTGCGGTGAAAGGAGTGACTGTTTCGATCTTACACTTCGTACACATTAAATTAAGTCATCGCAAGCTCAATAATTTAAAAATTCAGAAAATGGAAAATTTACAAGTGCCAAGACACAAAATTTTGAAACTATAAAGATACAGTTTTGCGTGTTTCATCAAATGAGAATCAAAGGTCTAAGAACCTCATATTCTTTTAAGAAAAGGTAGTCTTATAAATTTCTTTAAAACAAAGAAGTAACATTTCGCTGGCCCATAATTTTGCGAAGACTGAAAACTTTCTCCATGTAGTCAAAGAGTATTCTTAATTTTTCAAGTTCGAGTTCTCTGTTATTAAGAGATCGCAATTTTAAGGATCAAAGCTCACATCTACACTATTTCGAGAAATCAAAATCCTCATCCGTTATTTGAAGTAACTATTTTATATGTAAATTTTATGGACAAAAGTTCAAAGGATCAATAGATTTCAAGTATTAAACGCTGAAAAGGTCCATTATTACCAATATAAATTTTAAAAATCTCGTAAAGAGATTCTAACTTTCAAGATTCTTACGATTTGAGGTTCTATAAACCTAATATGATAGATATTCGTCGTTATAGCATGTTAAAATTTTTGTCGGAATAAATAAGATCAACAACAAGGTTATCATATAGAGTATTTCGCAGAGTTTATAAAGTTTTAGTATGTATTTTGATAGATTTTCGATTAAAGTTTCCTTTCTCAAAAATCCGAAAATGTAATTGTAAAGTTATTCTATAGAGCATATCAAAGAATTTTAGTTAAGTTAAACTTTCTAAATTTAAATAGATAATAGAATATTTGTATTGATGTATAATTATATTACATGCAGATATTATTTCAGTTGAATATTAATTAAAAAGAAATCAATTATTAAATAATTATTAAGTTCTAATCACAATAAAAAATACTTTAAACTCAGAATATAATTAGTTCTAATTATCTTCTAAGTTTTATTTCGTGGTTATATCTGGATAATTTCAAATAAAATAAAAAAGTCGATTCGAAATTGATTGAAAACAATGAAATTTCGAAGAAGTAGACTTCGCGAAATACTCGATATATATTCAATATTAAGAAATCAATGTTATCAAACTTTTATCGTATTCGTATGAACTCCAAATGCAACTTGCGATAAGTGCATTTTTTTTCCCTGGTTGCAGCTCTTTCTCTTTATTACCTTCATCGTGATGTCCTGCAGCTTTTACGTCGAAGAGCTCGGTAATCATCTACATTCATGTTATTACTAACAATATCATAGATAGAGTCGGTGTCTATCACCTAAGAATCCAATATTGAGACTGTTTTATGTTTACGTTTTTATACTTGGCGTGGTCTTCCTGGCACCATAATGCACTTTTAAGAAATCTATATAAAAATATGAGTAGAGTTGTCGTGTCCAGTGCGTTGAGTCGCGCGCGAAATAGGAATGCTCCTTGAAAAAGGATACGGGGGTTAGGATGAGAAACAAGAGACGAAGAAGAGAGATGAAGAAGGAAGAAAGAGAGAAGTCCGAGAAAAGGATTAGAGATAAATGGAAGCAGAAAAGCAAAGTTGAGTACTGGATCCGGATTGAAAATTTCATTCAGATAAAAAGATAGAACGAATGATTGTAAACAAGATATTGAAACAACAAAAGAATACATTTTGTGAAAGCGAATGGTCTCTTCTCTTTTTAAAAAAAAAATTTTTTTAAATTGAATAATTAAACAATTTTCAATATTACTCAATCAATGAAAAAGTTTTTGAATAAATCATAATCTTTCATTCATATCTTCAAAAGTAATAAATAATATTTAATGCCTTTGGCAAAATGCGTCGAATAAAATATGTAAGCTTAAATAAAAAGTTAGCAAAGTAAGATGAATTGGAGAATTGCCAAAAGTTTGGTTTAATCTTTTTCAGAAAAAAAGAAGAATTTTTACATAATGATAAATTCTTTCGTTTACGTGAGCATATTAAATTGTTTTTATTAAATGATCATTTTTATATAATTTATTATAGAATACAAAGTAAGAAAATTATTTAACATTCATTGTCAAAACAGATTCTTCATATTAGCTGAAATATTTCTCATGGTCAAATAAAAAGTAATTTTTATCTTTGTATAATTTATTCTTTCTCAGTTCAATCTATTAAAGGATAATGGAATATTTTTCAATTGTCTACTTTTATTTTTTCATTCACTCCTTTTATCTAAATGAAATATCTCTTTAATTATGAAAAAAAGAAGAGGAGTAAAAGGAAAAGAGAAAAGAGAGGAAAGAAAGAGAGAGGAATAGTATGAGAACATTGTGATAATTATGTCTGTTTTGGTCCCGTTTCGCATTGCGATTAGCCGCGAAACTACGCTTTCGAAATGAAAAGATGACGGACAAGACAAACCAGGTCCCAGCTTTATCCGTTAGTGAGCTTTTTCCGCGTGAGCTTTTCCTTATGAATGGTCGAAGATGAAGGCGGTCCGATCGATCTTTCCCTTCCTTCTGCAAATTTTATAATAAGTTAATGAACTGATTGACTAAATGTCGCATTAATTAACAATAGAATCAAAATAAATTTAAAAGTAAATTTAAAGGTAAATCAGAAGGAAATAGAAATTAAATTATTCGATCAAGTCTCTTCTCGTAAATGACTTCTCTCTCCACGACTGACTTCAAATTTTCTGTTTCTGTCTTCATTAATAAATTTAATTTTATGGAATAATAAATTTACGAGACATCTCTTGATGATTTATACCTTCATTGCCAAGTAATTCTAAATTAATTTTTAGCAAACGTCCAAAATTCGGATGCTGAAGGGATGAGAGAGTTCGCTCGAACTTGTTCTACAGAGCTCCAATAGAATCTCGGTGCGGTTATGGTTGTGCTAGCAAAACACCATCGCGTCATGCCGATACGTCGAGATCTGAACATCTTCGGGACAAATATCGCATTGGAAAGAATAAACGCTGCGAATTACAGCAAACGTCGCGCGTCGGGAGGAACCCAAATCGCATCGCTCGATAAATCCAGATCTCAGATTTAGACTTTTCGAATTTAAATTACGTGAAATCGTGAAATTTCGCGTTCACGTTCCTCTCGGGACGTCTCTCGGGATATTTTTAGTGTTTCCCCAGGCTTCTTTGTTCAACGTTTCCTCTTCGTCGAATAATCAAAGATTTTGAATTTGGCGAACTATACTAGTCACTTTTGATGAGAGATAGATAGATAGATAGATAGATAGATAGATAGATAGATAGTTAGATAGAGATAGATAGAGAGAGAGGAGGGG